AAGCGGCAGCCATGTTCATGCAAATGCCGCGGGGGATATTTAAATCCCCCGTGGATTTGCAATTCCGAAGTGTCTCATTAGCATCCCTTTTCCGGAAAGGGGTGCCAATGTAGACACAGCCTCAGTGATTTGGAAATTTAAATAGCAGATTTCAAGGAGTCAGATATTTGGGTGGAAATATTCATCAAGCTGAATTCTGATTTAGAATGCCTTGCTCAACAATGTGCAGAATTGGCAAAACCACAAAATGGGGTGACATGAAAAAATTGGATCACAATGATAATCTGAATCTGCAAACTTAGAAAGAACTTCCCATTCCATACAACACCATATATAACGTCAGCTTGGCCTTACTTTCAATGTTTGGCTCTGCCTCTACGTGGGAGCAGGCTCTCTCTCATCTGAATCCCATCAAAGGTACTTTATGCTCAAGGTTGACAGGAGACAGCCTGAATGGGTGCATGAAGCTGAATTTCACTAGTTATGATGTAAACTTCCAAGCATTGTGTGAAAAAATGCAGCAGCAGAAGTCCCATTAAATAAAGGCTATGAATACAATGTTTAAATTATGCTATTATTAATCATCATGTCAATTATCAATAATATTAAGTTGTATATTTTCAGTCTTGCAAATGGGCATTCTTATACAGATCTTTCTTGACCACTTGTTCTGAATTTTGATGTAGTTTGGGCTCTTTGGTTTGAAAGGGTTGCTGACCCATGACTCAGATAGTTTCATCTTGCAGCTGGGGTGCCAATGTAACCTTTGGGTGGGTTCTTTGCTCTTCTGTAGTACTTAAAAAACCCAACTCCCATAAAAAGCAGCTGGAGATTCTGAATTTAGTCATTGAGAACTTTCAGCAACAATTTCAATCAAGTCCAAAAGAACAAAAGGAATTTATATAATTCTTAAGTAGTAACTTTATAAAATCTTATGATAAAGAGCATAATATTTAATCATTTCATTTTTACAGCATAACATGGCTACTTTATAAGCCACATATATTGTCTTCACAGTTCTATATAAACATAAATAAAGAAATTAAATCTGAATTGGTCAGTCCCCACAAAAACACATTGAGAAGAAACTGTGGTTGAGCTCACCAGTCTCATTTGGAATCTTTGATCACCAAATCTATACAGTCTGCTGAGTCAAAAGCAACATCCTTCCTCTACTTGCATGTAGAAATCTTCAGCTTCCTCCTCCTGTGCTGAAATCACTCAGTTAATTAGTCAGCTAATCAATTAACCAGCCACCAGTTAAATATATAGATTTTTAAAATCTAGTTACAAGAAAAAACAAAACTCAGAATAGAAAAACAAATGACTCGTTCTATATTATCACATCTATAAAAAGAAATGTCATTGAATCATACTAGTTAAGAGTTAAACTAAAACAGTTTAGCTAAAATTAAAAATTTGAATTATACAATTAAAACAAAAGACATAGTTTTCCATGCCAGTTTCCTTTTACTATAATTAACACAGCCAGGCTTCCAAGTAGGAGAGTTAATGATCTAACTAACATGCTGTAAAATGCTTCACAGGAAAAACAGGCCACTTTCTGCTCCTGTAGCTCAGTTTCTCAGCACCTACTCTGTGCTCATGTGGTCTTTTGCAAAACAACTGCCTTAACTACTTGCCCCCATGTAGCCTGAGTATAGCAACAAGGAGACTATTGAGAATGCCCAAAACTACCGCATCCAGTTCCAAAAACTTCTGGATGTGGAGTGCTAATTGTCCATCTGCTTAGCAATGATGATACCACTCATTCCTATCCACCATCGCCGCCACCACCACTTTGATAAATCTCTTTATAGGATCTGTCCCTACCAGGCACATGGGTTATACCAGAAGATGGCATTGAAAGCGCATTGAACTGCTCTCAGTTCCAATCCTCAATCCTGCCCCAGGTCAGAGCAGCTGAGAGCCTGTGGTCTAGATGGTGTGTGCTCATACAGTGGGATGGTTCTGGCACAGTCTGAGCAGCAGTAGGAGCTGCAGAAGTCTTGTGCATGCTCAGAGAAGATGGAATATTTAGAGATTTTAGAGATTTGAATGTGTTGAACGGTAAGCTACAAGAGGAAGGAAATGGAGTTCTGACTTCTCTGAGTCAAAATTGACTGTCTTCATCAAAGATATCAAGACAGGCAGACTTGCACATTTCAGAAGACTAGGTCTACGCTAAAGGGGAAGGATGAATCACGATACGCAACTCCAGCCATGTTAATTATATAGCTGGATGCAAGTTTCCCCACCGTGACCACAGCAGACAATGCTCCCATTACTCCTTTCAGGAGCAGGAATACCAGCCACAGATGGAAGTGCCTGCAGCAGCATTGATCTTCCACTTAGCGAAGACATGGCCTAAGTGTTTAATGAAGCATGTGTGAAGGCCAATGGCATTGATCTTCCACTTAGTGAAGACATGGCCTAAGTCTTTAATGAAGCATGTGTGAAGGCCGATATTTCAGAGGCCTTCAAGTTGGCCAAATGTTGGTAGATTTCCATGGGCACAGCAAACAGCACATCCCAGCACAAAGGTCATGCTTCTGCAAATTTCAAGTTTCTTCTCCGATGCATGATGGCACTAGAGCTGTTCAAATTAAAGGTCACCAAAATATTTTTATCATCCAAAAAATGAAAGACTTCTTTTTTGGAAACAGCAAACCTATTTTGGCTGATATTTTTAACAAACACAGCAAAATCATCATGAGGCAGACATCCAGAAGAGAAAATGTCCATCCAAACAGTTAATTTGGCCAGATTTTAAGCAACTAAAAACAGGGTCTTATATTGAAATGTGTCAGGCAGACTTAATAATGAACAGCACTGTCAGCCCCATCCATAATGTAATCTCCAAAGACTGAAAACTATTGGGTCTAATAATTCATACTGAAATGCTTAGAATAGTGCCAATGCTTATGAATAGAAATGCTTATGAGTTCCCTGATACATGTATGTGTCTTGTTAATACTAAACTGCTCAAGATAGTTAAGACCAAAGCAGATCGTGAAGAGCTTCAAAAAGATCTCACCAAACTAAATGATTGGGCAACAAAATGGCAAATGAAATTTAATGTTGATAAATGTAAATTAATGCACATTGGAAAACATAATCCCAACTCTACATACAATATGATGAGGACTAATTTAGCTATAACTACTCAACAGAGAGATCTTGGAGTCATTGTGGATAGTTCTTTGAAAACATTCACTCAGTGTGCAGCGGTAGTTAAAAAAGCAAACAGAATGTTAGGAATCATTAAAAAAAAGAATAAAGAATGACAGAAAATATCTTATTGCCTCTATATAAAACCATGGTACACATGGTTAAATAGTGTGTACAGAAATGGTTGCTTCATCTCAAAAGAGATATATTGGCATTGGAAAACATTCTGAAAAGGGCAACAAAAATGATTACAGATTTGAAATGGGTCCCATATGAAGGGAGATTAAAAAGACTGGGACTTTTCATCTTAGAAAAGAGAAGACTAAGGAGGGGTAAGATAGAAGTCTATAAAATCATGACTGAAGTGGAAAAAGTAAATAAGGAAAAGTTATTTACTTATTCCTATAAGAACTAAGGGTCACCAAATGAAATTAATAAGAGCAGATTTAAAACAAACAAAAGAAAGTTTTTCTTCACGCAGCTCATAGTCAACCTGTGAAACCCCTTGACAGAGGATGTTGTGAAGACTAGGACTTGAACAGGCTTCAAAAAAGTGCTAGATAAATTCATGGAGGTTAGGTCCATCAATGGCCATTAGCCAGCATGGGTAGGAATGCTGTCCCTAGCCTCTGTTTGTCTGGAAATGGATGAAAGGAGAGGGTTGACATGATGATTAACTGTTCTGTTTACTCCCGCTGGGGCATCTGGCATTGGCCACTGTCGGCAAACAGGATACTGGGCTAGATAGACCTTTGGTCTGACCCAGTATGTCTCTTTTTATGTTGTTTTCATAGTAAGTGTTAGTATTAATATTGTTAACAAATATACTTTATTCAGATGATCAAATTTATATGGCAGATGCTTTTTATGTAATATAGAGAAAATGCTCATTTGAACTGGATTGAAAGAATGTTATATAATGTATTGTTGTATCAGAACACATAATATATAGGTCAAAGAGTAAAGATGGATTTGATGCAAAACTTAGCCCCCACACACCTAGCCTAGGCATTTTTAGATATAAAACAATCCCACTGTGAAAACACAAAGCAAATAGCCTTCCTAGCTTCTTCTTGCTCTCATTAAACTTGCACCATACCAGACTTTTATAAAGCAATGACACACACATGGCACTAGAGCAAAGAAAAAGGACCACCAGAGCTACTTCAATACCTTTGATTTACCAACTCTGTGGGAACCTACGCTTCCTAAATTCTGAATCAGTCTGTTCTGTTAGTAGTCATTTTTCTTCATCAGGTGTGCTGTTCTCTATCCCCAAAACTGCAGGATTGTCTCTCTTCTTGAACAGCCAGTTCTCCTCTTTTGTATGTTGAGTTCCCAGGGAAAAACAGTTAAGATTTAAACTACAGTCATCAATTAGTTTATAATCACTATCAGTGAAATTATATGTACCAGTTTTAAGGCTCTGCAATCCACCAAAATGTGGCAATTTATCATAAATATAATAGCTTTTTATGTGCACAAATTTTTAAACAATTTCATAAAAACCCTGTCATGATACATGATTTAATAAGATAGTTACAGATCAAGAAATTACTAGTACAGTATACGCACTCTGCGCATTTAAATCCTTGAAGTTAATAGGAGCCCTGATTAGCCTCCAGTGCTTTTAAAAATTTGTGTAGTGGCTATTTGTTCTGCATTACATTTTCCAAAAGGTGGTAATCTGACTGTATTATCTTTCATTATTTTACATGATACCTGCAAAAGAATTGAATATTCAAAAGAAAAAAGTAATGGAACCATGAAGAAATTTAATCTTAGGCAGATGGAGGGGAGCTGTGATGGAGATTTTTCCTCTGGCAGTAAATGGGAAGAGAGCCCACAGTGCTCAGCTGTTAAAGACAGGCCCTGTTTTAAATGAGCAGATTAATTGGGCAAGTAATGATGTATAGAACAGCTCTGTGATAATGCAGAAACACTTGAGAATATATTACAAAAATTCAGCCGCACTTTAGCATCTATTATATGTTCACAGGGGTGATGGGTGAATATGAGCCAAAAATAGAAGTGCAGTTCCCAGAAACTGTTCCTTCTGCAAAAGGAGCAACTGTGAAACTGGAATGCTTTGCCTTGGGAAAGTAAGTTTTGGTTCATTATTATTACTTTAGCTTGCATCAGTCTAACAGTAACATATATTATAGTGTGTTTTTTAATCATTTGTTTTATTTATGGTATAGCTATTTGCTGATTTCCTTTACATGTAAGAGACTTGTCTTAGCTTAACCTGCCATCAAAAGTGTGATTGCTAAGTGAATATATTCTGTTACTAAGTTTCTTTTGGCACCTAAGAGGCTGTGAAAAGTGTCATGTGTTGCAATTAATGTACATTTACACAATTAATACATGGGGAGGATGGGAAAGTAGAGTTGTTGGTGCTTGCTCAGTGTGTGTGCTGAAATGGAAACTCTGTGAATAAAGTCAGTTTCTAGGACATTGACTTTTCTCTCCAGGCCACTGCAAACAATGTGAATAATGGCCTAGCTGATAGACCAATTAAAAATTAATTATGCAATCAGTGACCAAATTGCTCTGGTTCCTGGGCAAAATATTCACCCTGGGGAAAGACAGGCCATCATATATGAAACAGAGGAAGCTGACCAGAGAAATGGTTATCTTAATCAGGTCAATACTAGGCCTACAAGGGACCCAAACCTGCTCCCTCTGAATTTCAGTGGGAGTTTCAGTTTAGGCCCATGGATACATAAAATCAAAAGAATAACGCTGTTCACTTTCCAAAAGAAGTATTAGGAATATACATTTGAGCGTTTTGGTGATCAAATCAAAGAATGAAAATTAAGCCTGTGAAGTACCTGTTGAAATGTTTACAAGATGGTAACCAGCTCTCACTTAGCACTATACATAAATCAAGTTGAATCCCTCTAGTCCAGCACCGTCCTGACCTGACCAGTGCCAAACAAATCAAGTTGAATCCCTCTAGTCCAGCACCCTCCTGACCTGACCAGTGCCAAACCAGAAAACTTGCTGGGCCATTGAAGTTCAATGTTGTCTAGCAGCATTACCAACACTTCCACTGCTTACCTGGCTCTTAGGCTACATCTAGACTGCATCCCTCTGTTGACAGAGGGATGCAAATCAAGCACGTCGAAATTGCTAATGAAGTCGGGATTTAAATATCCTGTGCCTCATTAGCATGAACAAGGCCACCACTTTTTTTTGAAACAGAGTGTTTTTTCGAAAAAAACGGTAGTGTAGATGCGGATCTGTCAAAAATAAATCGTTTTTCGACAGATCCTGTAAACCTCATTTTTTGAGGAATACAGGATCTGTCAAAAAAGGCTTTATTTTCAACAGATCCATGTCTAGACTGCTGGTTTTTTTTTTTTTTAAAAACTCAATTTCGAAAAAAGTGGTGGCCATGTTTATGCTAATGAGACATGGGATATTTAAATCCCGGCTTCATTAGCAATTTTGACGTGCCTACTTTACATCTCTCTGTCAATAGAGAGGTGTAGTCTCGATACGGCTTTATTTTCAACAGATCCATGTCTAGACTGCTGGTTTTTTTTTTTTTTAAAAACTCAATTTCGAAAAAAGTGGTGGCCATGTTTATGCTAATGAGACATGGGATATTTAAATCCCGGCTTCATTAGCAATTTTGACGTGCCTACTTTACATCTCTCTGTCAATAGAGAGGTGTAGTCTAGATACTCCCTCAGAAGACATTTATGGGTAAATTAGAGCTAAATAACAGCACAGAATACTGAGAACACTGGTAAATGTAAACAAACTTTATGGGACCATTGGAAAGTTGGCTACACTCATAATAAGTGGACATCTGGCTAACTAAAATCATGCTGGAGCATGTGTAACCTACACACTTAGTGTGGATACTGAGCAATGCAAGTGGAACCTAGACCACAGCAACAGTTAAGATCAAGAGACCTCTACAGCATGGGCTGTGAGCCAGTTGGCTGTTGGAGCTAAGTTCCAGAGGTTTGGTTCTGCCTGTGGTAGTACAAGTAGAGGCTCCTCTGGGATTGCATTTGGGATGTCTCTGGAGTTTGGGATGAGCTTCCTCCTCTAGGGGAAGTATGTAACCCACACACAGAGAGTGGTTCACTGTCCCATGTATGGCACTTGGACTACTTAGAGCAACAGATTTGAAGTTAGGATCTCTGGAGCTTAGTATAGGAGTCTGTACCACTTGAGCTAAAAGCCATCTGGCTCTTAGTCCGGGCTGTAGAGGTCTCTTGTTCTTGTTTGTTGCTATATGTGGTCTAAGTGCCACTACATGGGACAGTGAACCACACACGATGTGTGGGTTACACACAAATATTGGACACGTTGCATGCACGGCCGCAGAAGATTTTCTCATCAAAGCTTTCTTGCGCAAGAGAGCATCCACTGCCATGGGCCCTCTTGTGCAAAAGCACAGCTCACACATGGCAATGTGGACGTTTTCTTGCACAAGACCCCTTGCGCACGATGTTCTTGTGCAAGAAGCCACCAGTGTAGACATAGCCCCTGTGTGGTTACTGAGTAAGGCAAGTGGTACCTAGACCACAGAAACAGTTAAGATCAAGAGACTTCTATAGCATGGGCTGGGATCCAGCTGGCTTTTAGCTCAGAGGGTAGAGGCTCCTATACTCCACTTCAGAGGTCCCAGGTTTCAATCCGCCTGGTGGTGGTGGTTACACATGCAGGCAAACACACCTCCCGTGGTCCTTCATGGTCTGCCATAGGGCCAATTCTGGCCACTCTGGGAAAGGCAGAGGGGGTGTGCAGTCTCGCTTCCCTCCCCTGGGCTCCAGCCAGCCAGGAGAAAGCAGAGGCGGCGCGCCGCCCGC